GGCCCACAAATGACTTGGTTGCATGTTGTGCGCTGGTGTGTTGCTTCTGCATGCAGACACAACTTTGCTTGAGACGACAAAATTGTCAAACACAAACATACAAGCAAAATCAAGCAAACATCCGCCGTACCGCTGGCGCGGTAACGCTTCCAATCCTACCAGCCATAGAACACCGTATAGACCTCTTCAGCTCCGGAAGATGGATTCTGACCCTGAAGCGCGACAAGGACGGTAAGTTCTTGAGGTCGCTTGACTTAAGGAACCTAGGTCTCAAAGATGTACCCCGTAGCGCATGTGTGCAAGATGGGTTCCACATCAAAAAACGCCAAGCCCCGCGTGAAATAGGCAAATTGGCCATGTAAGATCCCAGTTGCAGGAAAGCAAGTTCGCCAATGAAATGAAGTGGGCTACTTGCTGGTTCCGCAAATGTAGGATTTCATGCCAAGGCTGGTCCCATCATAGCTCCAAACCGCTCTCCGCGCTTGTGTTCTTTCGCCTTCCAATTCGTGCTTGCCTGCGCCTGCCACGAAGTCTGCGCATGGAGGTTCTGTGCCTGCCACGAAATCTGCACCTCGAGGTTCACACAGTGCTGCGCCTGAAATCTGCACATGGAGGTTCACAAAGTGCTGCGCCTGCCGCGAAATCTGCACATGGAGGTTCACACAGCGCTGTGCCTGCCACGAAATCTGCACATGGAGGTTCACAAAGTGCTGCACCTGCCACGAAATCTGCGCCTCGAGGTTCACAAAGTGCTGCGCCTGCTACGAAATCTGCACATGGAGGTTCACAAAGTGCTTTGCCTGCCACGAAATCTGCACATGGAGCTTCACAAAGTGCTGCGCCTGCCACAAAATCTGCACATGGAGGTTCACAAAAGGCTGCGTGACATGCCGCGCTCATCCAGCGTGCAGGGTCCGCAGATGCGCGAGCGGACCAGATGGAGACAGACCCAGAGGCACCTCCACCCGCTCTAGCGGGCGTGCCTACTGAGATTGACCCGGAAGCCACGGATGTTGTGCCCGCTCCGATGGACATTCCAGAAGGAGTTCCGGTATATCCGATGAATACCGGTGATTCAGAGTCGTTTCCGGAGCTTCTACCTGATGACCACTATGAAGCAGTACCTCCAACGGTACCGGTGACGGGACCTATTGCAAAGCCAGGCCATCTGGCCGAACAGGCAAAAGCAAGTGCTGCAGTACGCAGCGGGGAAATCTCAGATACACCCAGCGATGAGGTGATTGAGGCGGAATGGTGCCGAACCTCAACAGCTGAATCCGCTCTAGCGGATGAAGACGTGCCTACTGCCGAATCCTCTCAACCGGCTCTATTATGCCGATTGGTCAGATGAATGGCATGACATTTTGCATTGTTGGAACGAACATGTTCGTGTATTTGTTTCGGATGCGGCGTACCAACATGGGCAGCGACATGGTGCGCACAACAATGGAACCTTGCACGGCACATTGCTTCATTGCCTGCGAGCCGGTGGGTGCGAAAAATTTTGCGTTGGACTCCGGCTGGACCACGTCGGGGACGCCCCAGAAGCATGTGGACAACAAAATTGGAAGAATTCTGCCGGTACAAAAATTTGGGCAATTGGCTCACACCCAAACTACTTGGAACGAGCTATTGAAGCACAGGGTTACGTTGTTGCTTATCTATGGGGAGGCAACTTGCACTTGGCCACTCCGGATGCTATTCGAAGCTTCATCAATGAAAATATTAAACATATCTTGGAGGCGGAATGTAGCAAAATAATGATCGCCCTGATGACGGCCATATCTCAAGAGCACTTTCGATGGCCTCATCATAGAAGCCGGTCTGTCGGCAGAGGCGCAAACACGGGACCATTTTGGAACAGAATCCAGAAGTCCGACGACAAGCACTGGCCAAGAGTAATCCTCAACTTGAGATACCAATTCCGGAGCCTCCTGTTTCCACGGTAAGCGGAAAGGAGAGCAAAAAATCGGACTCAATCTGGATGGCTATGCTAAAACTTTTTCTGCGTGGCCCAGGGCCAGTTCGTCCACCCCCTGAACTCGGAAAGGAACAACAAAGCCAGAAACTCCGTCGAACGGAGGCGGCAGAGAAGGTATGGTAAGATCAGGCAGCCGCTAAGGCAGCGCAAGCAGCCGCAATTGCACCACCTGCGGCAACACCAAATCCGCCAGCAGCGCCTATGGCACCAACTGTCAAAACCGCCGTTCTACTGGCAGAGCCGCAACCAACACTGGCCAGGTCAAGGTCAACCAAACCGAAAAAGGAGGATGCCGACGTGGACATGGTAGAAGAACCAAAGAAGCGGGTTCCTCCACCACAGGTGGCCGGAAAACAGTCAAAACCGACTGCAGTACCAAAGGGCACGGCACCCATTAGTACAGCAGTGCGGCCACTGGCACAGTCAAAGGTTCCTCCTCAGGAACACCTGAAACACCACGAGGCCGACCTACTGGTCAAGCCAGCGCCCATGAACGCTCGAGGTCAGAGCGAGGTCGATCACAACCTGGAGGGACACGTAGAGTCCGCAGAGATATTCCCCGCGATGCTCGGTAGGAGCTAATGCGGATTTTTTCATATATTTTCCTTCAAATTTTCGATGATCCATTTTTCGATGCTAGCATTTTCGTTCGTTCTGAGAGTGCCATGCTCTAGAGGCTCCAGTGGTCAATTCAGTTCGATTTGCAAGATCCTGTGTACAGTTCGCCGTGGTTCGGTGCCCGCAGCGCTTGCCAAAGAGGGACTGTACCTTGTGGGCGCAATGTACCTCGTGGCTGGGGTGTAGCTTTCCACACTTGCCTCCGCACGCTGTGTAACGGCTGCAGGTCTGCCCGTTTCTCCTTCTTCTTCTTCTTGGACCTCGGGCCCGCGCTCTTTTCTCAGTCGCTGGCAGCTGGTTTTTACTGCTTTCCAAACGTAGCAGTCACCGCTCTCCGAGTTTCCCGGCGCAAGTAATTTCTTCTCGCTGACTGTCCGGCTCAGCTACCTTTGGCCACTAGTCCAACCTTTGCCACGCACGACGAACTACTCCAGACGCTTGGTGTTCACCACGGGGTGGACTCAGGGGATGTTTCACACTTGCGTTTGGCGCCAAGAAGTTGTTGTATTTGATGTGGCCTGCCGAGGAAGACGAAGACACTGCCGGACTTTGTGCTTGAAGGTAGTGTGCTGCTTGACTGGGAAGAGGCGCTGCTCCAAACTCGGGGGCGTGCCGTGCTTCTGCTTCTTGGCCTGTTGTGTTGAGACTGTTTCCCAATGCCTGGCGATACCTGGCAGCAACCTTTTCTCAACCGCTACTTTTTGCTGGCAGCTCCCCTGCCGCTGCTCGACGACGTTGTGACGGTGTGATCCCAACGGTGCGGTATCGCCCGCCGCGGAAGCTGATCGGCCCTAGATCGACCAGCCCCGCTACCATGCGAAGCGGACGTGTTCTGCTCACTTGAGCCATGCGGGCTGTGCGTACTGGGCTCACAAACACAGAAACACAAGTAACACAAGTGTTCCAATCCGGTCGCTTAGGACAAACTTTGGTTAGGAATCTTTTTTGCAAGAGCTGAGCCGCATTCTTTGTGAGCCATGGGTGCGTGGAACAACGAATCACGTTGCGCATCTCAATTGTATTGTCGCTGTTGCTTTGGGAGGCTTTCTGCTTTGCAAGCACATTTTTTGCGCAACAACGGTCTACTTGCAATGGGGCGGTGCAGTCTACCTTTGACAAGTTCACTTGCACGTATGTTTGTTTCAGCAGTGGACAAAAGCAAGAAACATGCTGGAGTAAACTGGCGTGTTTCTGGCAAGTTTGAAGCGGGGCTTGCAACATCTTGCAACCAATTCTGTAGAAAGGCTGCGCGACTACCAGAGCAACCATATCCTTCACCATGCGGCAACATGTTGAAATCAATGGAGGCCATGCGTGTAGTGTGTTGCGTACGTAGCTGCCAGTCACCGTGTTGAGCAACTCGGAATGTTTTCACGCATGTCGTGGTTGAAACCAGACGACACTTAAATAAGAATCTGCCGATGGTGAAAGCATCGTGCACGAATCCTTGCTCAAAGGCACGGTTAAGGACAAAAGTGCAACCCCCCTTCCCACAGTGGCTCAAATCCTTTTTGTCTCAACGGTGTCATGGGTTTTCTTTTGCCGGCTGCGATGATCACCACCACGACCGCCACAGCATGACCAGATCAACACCACCGGCACCGGCGCCAGCACCGGCATCCTTGCCAACAGCATCATCATCGCCTGCGTCACCATGGCGAGTACTAAAGGGCACTTCCAACTACATATACATACATGATCATACATGTATAACCGATTATAACCATGTAAATGGTTTGCTGTGGCATTTCTTTTGTTTAGGCTTAGCCCTCCCCGCCCTCCCCAACGCCCAAACGTGTTTTCTCTTAAGTTAGCTTTGCTTCTGAAGCGCGGCGCTCATGGTAGGCAAAAGTGCAGGCAGCAAGGTGAGTTGGCACGTAAGGCAGCACAAAAAGAACCTCAATCATTCACGATAACCCAATGACCCTCCACCCAAAATGGGTGGGAAGTGGTTAGGGAAAGTAAGGGCCCAAGTCATTCCGAGCCATGGCCCGACATGAGATTTGGCTTTAGTCAGTACTTGGAAGTTATTCTTCCTCACGGTCTTTCTTGAGAATTCGAAGAGACATGCCACGGGGAACAATTCTTCTCTGGAAGCAAGGAAGGAAAAAGGATTGGAAGTCAGGATTTTGTGAAGGTTTGAAGTTTAGTTTTTGGACAAATTTGTTATTTTCAGACGCAGTCATAGCAGTCTCAAAGAAAAGAAGTGACCGGAGCAATACTGCGCATTCCAAGACCGTGAGCTCAGATTTGGTGTTGTAGGCCCAACGTGCAAAAGCATGAAAGAAACCAGAATACTGTAAGCGAACCAGCTCAAACTGCATTATGCAACAGCTTTTGTTCAACTGTTCTATTTTTTAAAAATTTTGGGAGAACAAGACCAACGCTCTTGCAGACTAACGTGCGGAGTTGCGTGGTGTTTTCTTGATGGATGGTGCAACGTGCGCTCTGCGACAAGTCCGTCGCTACTACTGCTTTTGTCAAGGTAACCCTGTAGGCACTGCCTTGGAGGAACTGGAGGCCTGGCTCCGCCAAGGAGCCTTTGAGGGGCGCTGCTGCAGTTTGGAGGAGCTGGAGAGCACAGTGCGCCAGATTGCTCTTGAATGGAAGGAGGATCTTCTTTTGTTTTTGGCGTTGCCCGAGCGATTGGCATGCGCCAAGGACCCGGTTGTCAAAGCTGTAAACCAACGGAAAGGTCACACAGTTTGCATAGTGCTGACCTTCGCAGAGGTTCCCGTTGCAGATGTTGGCCAATCAACAGTTCCCACAGACTTTTTGGCCGACATCAAGCCAAATCTTGAAGACAAGAAATCATTTAATCGACGTGACGAGTTGCAAGCCAAAGCAAGGCTTCCTTACCGCCACAGCAAGGCAGAGTTTGGATTCTTGGTGGTGTCAAACCTGGGCAACCTCCTAAGACACTGGGAAAGTATTCAAGCAAAGAGCAAAACCCAAGATTTATCTACATTCCTGCAGGAGGCTGGCAAAGATCATCTAAAAGAGACCTTAGAGACTACCGGATTCACCGGACTGACTTCCATGGTCGTCCTTTTTCCAACTCGTTGTGAGGAATGCAAAACTCTTGAAGATGCCATCCGGGCGGCGCATTTGACCTGCCTCCAGCAGTTGTTGGGTGCTGGCACAGGGGGGCCGCCGCTGGAGTCGCAGGACTCGTTTCCTTTGCATCTCGCAGTTCTGAGTGCAGGGCAGAAAAAGCAGCAAGTCGAGATCTACGAGAAAATGGCGAAGCTCCTCATACTCGCCAAGCATGACCCCGCCAGTCAAAATTCACATGATATCACGCCTTTGCACTGGGCTGCTGGTTATGGCAGAGCAACCCTGGTCTCAACAATGCTGCATTTCGCAGGGGCCGGGGTACTGACAAGGGAGGCAATTGGCATGACATACTCTTGTCAGGAACTTGATAGAATGAAGGCAATTGCCAATATTCAGGACAAACACGGGAGAACTGCGTTGTACCGAGCAGTGATGCATGGCCATGACGAAGTGGTCCGATGGCTTGTTTTGATGCGCTCAGACTGCAACCTGGCCGACCACAAGCAGTACACCCCACTTCACGTGGCCATGCAGCAAAACCCTCGTGAAGGGCTTGTCCGTTTACTCCTGGACGGCCGCTCCAATGTTCATTCCCTCAATGAAGATGGACGTCTTCCACTGCATCTTCTGGCAGGGGCTCACAGGAATCTCCAGGACGAGCACATCCAGATCTTAGAGCTGTTGAAACGTGAGCCTGAGTTTCTGGCCGGCGTAGCTGCCAAAGACAGAGATGGTTGGACTCCGCTTCATGAAGCTGCTTTGGCTGGCAGAGCGAGGGCTTTGCGCTGGATGCTTGATTGTGACAATGCCAAGGAGCTACTGACGACCGAATCTGGCAGAGTTCCATCTTTGCTCCACGTGGCAGTGATGGGCAAAGACCTCGAATGCTTGGAGCTTCTGATCACGTCCAAAGCATCTCCCACAGACACTTGCGTTTTGACTTGGGACCATGAACACTTCAGAGTCCCACATCACCACGTCCAAGTCGGCTTGTGTTTGATGAATTCTGGCATTATGGTCCGTCCATTTGTTGACCGAATTTCCTTCAATAGGAAGCTGCCAGAGTCTGAATTCCATCGGAATGTCAGCACGAAGTTGAAGGAGTTGCTGCAAGATCCTCACAGGAGTGAACTCAAGGTTTTAAACTCCAAGGACCTTAGTTCACAGCACTGTGAAATCATTTTTGCTGAAGCACGGCAGCTGGGTATGAAGTGTGTCCCTCCCGGGGAATACAAGGAAGATGGGTCACGACGTCCGCTGATTGTGTACAAGGATTTGGGGCCCTTGCTTCATTCACGCAGGGTGTTGGAAGACATTGGCTTCCGGCAGCGGGTGAGATTTCGCTTGGAGGAGCTGGATCCAGGTGCCTGGCAAAAGCCTTGAGCGAAGGGTTCTTCTAAAGAAGGGGTGGTGGTTGAATCACGACATATTTTCAATCTTCGCAGCTACATCTCTCACATCTTCACATCATTTCACATCTATTTTCTTTTTACTTCTGTCATTTCACGGAACTGAGGTCACACGCGCATGGCCACTTGCATCCACTTGCCCATGCAACGTTCGTGGGGGTCGTGCGCGTCGAACTCCCGAAACTCAGGAAACTAGGAATTCTTACACCAAAGTGTGAAACGGTTATCGAAAATGACCGTGTGCGTTGCTAGAGTGTCAATCGTTCGTCAAAATGGGTTGAGATGGTCCCGTCATCGTAAATTGAGGGCTGCGCATGCCAAACTGTGAAACTGTCGTTGGAATTGAGGGCCGGGACTGCGAAAGTCTGCGAAAGTGTGAAATTGTCGTCGAATATCAAGGCTTAGATTGCCAAAGTGTGAAGCTGTCGTTGAAGGTGGGCTCCGTGTTGTTGGGAAGCGGGACATATGCGTGTGCAACGCGGCGTGTCGCTGGTGAGCGGGATGATTTGTGGTGTCAACGAGGCTTGGCCCCGCATGGTTGCATGTAGAATGTAGAACATGGCAGATAGTGTTCATTGCAAGTTGCATTTGATGCCTTCAATGCCATGCCTTACTGTAGATGTGAGCACGAAGGCGCCGGCTGTGTCGGTGGTCGGTGGCAGAGCCAGGAAACATTGTGCGAGCGCGGGTGCGTTGACTCCTTTACCGCCTGCACTTCTGTGGGCAGCCATGCCTCCTTATTGAACATCCGAACATCCCTTCTTACTAGTCTTACTACTATGAACTTTTTGCGCTGTCGGACCACCCGTCGTCGAGTCAAATGAGACAAACTTTCCCAAGCAGCAACAGTTAAGAGAGGTCCTGGTGACAGGTTCTGGGTGCCGCTGCACAGCTGTGATAGGCTCTGAAAGGGACGGTGCCCAGAAATTATGGCTTTACAAAAGGGTGTTTTTCTTTGAGGCTAGCGGACTCCGTCAGGTCATCATGATTTTGCGCATGGAAGGCACCACAGGTTTGGACACACACACACACACATAAAAATACATAAATTATATATATATATATGTAGCTGGAAACTTCCAGCTGCACTGGGGGCTTCCTCGCCCTCAAACAATCTCCTACCAACCTAAAGGAAGCTACCTCTAAGGAAAATCCTATGGTGGTCCTGTGCCTTGAGCCAAATCCAGTTGGATTGGCCGAACTCATTCGAAGGCTCCAGTTGGCTTGGTTGTCTCTTCATTGGATTCACATATATATATATATATAGGTATGTTGTGTGTATGTGTGTGTGTGTCCAAATTTGTTGTTAATATATATATATATACACATATACACACTTATTTATATATACACAATATGTTTGTCGGGTTGGTTCTCGGATTCCACAAGGTTTGAGACCTTCGACAGGATTTGCAGGGTCCGAAGTGTTACGCGCTGGCGGCTTATTGCCGTTCGTTCAGGTGAAGAATGCTGCTTTCGTGGCCTCAGTGGTGTGCAACGAAAGTTTGTCCATGAAATCGCCAAAGAATTGGGTTTGTCGTCGAAATCTTTCGAGCAGGATGTGACTGTGAGGGCAAAATTGGAGTCAAACTCGCCGAAGAAACTGAGGGTTGAAGAGGATGCCGACTTTCTGAAAGAGGTGGCGGCAGAGTTAGATCAACTTGATCCAGGCCAGGAGAAAGTTTTGGGCGCTGGCCTGTCGACCTTCCGCCGCAAACTGATTCACGATGAGGTGGAGAAGAGAGGCTGGTCATCTGGGCCGCAAGGCCAAGCCATTGCTGTGCGTCACCCTCTCCCCCAAGAGCCACAAAGCCTTCGCAGTAAACTGTCGGAAGCAGAGGTGGAGCAGCGGGTGCGACAGGAGCTTCAAAACTTGAGACCTGGCGAATCGCACTCCTTCCCTCCAGACTTGAACAGCTATGAACGCAGGATTGTGCACAAAGTGGCAGAGGAGCTGGGCTGGACACACCGTAGTGAATTTGTGGAACCACCTGCCAAAGGGAAAGGCAAGAAAGGCAAGGGCAAGTTCAAGGGAAAATGGCCGGGCAATGCTCGTCAAATTACTGTTACGCATGTGGCTGCAAACAGTGGCGGTGCATGCCAAAACGTGTCAAGCGAATCAGTAGCGCCTGTGGAACATGACGTCAGAGCAGAAGTCATGGAGGCACTGCAGAAACTTGCTCAAGATGAATCTTTGATAGAGCATCCGTTTCAATGGGAACTCGAAAGTCTGGGAATGGGTAGACGGGCAGCTATCCGGACACTGGCTCAAGAGGCTTCAGATGAAGGCTTTGGTGGCTTTAAAGCAGAGACTGACAGGGATGGCAACAAGTTGCGTGTTGTTCTTCGACGAGAAGGGCAGCCAAAGCCACTGGAATCATCAGAACATCTCCCAAGTGTGCGCTTTGAGTGTATACAGGCCGTCGCGAGAGAGTTGAATCGGTTCATACTGTCTGAAGAGGGCGAGCTAGTCTATTCCACAGCCCTCAACAAGATGCAGCGCTCTGTTGTCCATGATGTTGCTCGACAGTTTGGCTTGGCCTGCTACACAAGAGGCGTGCAGAGGGAGCAACTGCAGGTGATGGTGACCAAGTCTTGTCCAGCGAATCCTAGCGAAGCGCCCGTTGTCCATCGTGGATATGTTTGCGACGGCTGTGAGAAACCGCCCCAGGGTGTGCGTTTTCACTGCTTGAATTGCCACGATTTGGATTTTTGCGCGTCTTGTCACGAGAAGTGGGCTAACGGCCTTCTCCCGCACGCAGAAGGCCACAAGTTTCAGCCGTGCAATTTCTCTGTCCAACCCGAGCAGTGGACGCTTGCAACGAGCGTGAATGCTTTGCATTTTGCGGCCGGGATGGGCTTGCTTGAGATGGTCCGCTGCCTCCTGTCGGCAGATGAGTCTGCGCGCCTGCTGTCCTCAATGACCAACATGGGCAACACTCCACTGCATCTGGCTTGCGAGCGCCGACGGATTGACACAATTCAGCATTTGCTGCAAGCAAGGGCGGATTGTGATGTCAGAAACAAGAAAGGGAGGACCGTGCTGCATGTTGTAGCACGCATTCCCTCCTACAAGACCTCTGACCGAAACGAACTCACTGACTTGATGAAGTTGCTCCTGAGTGCCAAAGGGAACCCAAAGATTTCGGAGAGCAATGGGGATACTCCATTGCATCAGGCGTGGACAGATTTTTGTGGGATGGATGATTTTTTCAACGATGATCAATGGTTGGTGCCCCAATCACTGTAAGGAACGCGGCAGAAGGCAGTTTCAAGCTACCCAAAAACCAGAGTGGAAACAGACCATTGACCTGGAGATTCTGACATCCTAAACGCATCAAACCCCCGCTTGGAAGACTAGAACTAGAACTTTGACTGGAAAGCTTGCGGTAAAACCTAGGAGCGTGCAAAGCCGATGAACCGAACTCTGGAACCTTGACAGTGCGAGCCGCATGTGTTCTGTACCGCATTTTCTTCCGGCAGAACCTACATGTTTAACTCTTTTGGAAACGCATTTCCTTTTCAGGCATCTCAATGACTACGCCATATTGGTGTGGGAGGGTTGTGGTTGTTGCCCCATTCCAAGCCAACCCAAACAATGGACGCCCAAAGTCCTTTGCAAAAAACAAGAGGCTGGCTTGCAGCCATCAGCCTCCAAACGCCTGGCCAAAATTGTAGACGAGGCAACTATGTTAGGGTTCATTCACCTCAACATACTCAGACAAAAACTAATGGTCTAGAAGAACCGTGACTACTATGAACTGCGATGCCTAAAATGCTTCCATAGCCTACCTACCACATGCGACCCGTTTGGAATGGGAAACCTCGGACAAGTAGCTGCGACGCGAGCAGCAGTTGTTGTTCCACCACGGCATGTGTATCAAAAAGAAATTATATAATTACTGAATCAAAAAGAAATAAATACGTAATCAAAAACAAATTAATTAACTAATCAAAAAATAACTATTTTCCTTTCCCGTCTCTTGTATGCTTGTTCCTGGTCCACATGGTTGTCCTGGGTCCCCTTGGTCCCCTGGTCCCCTTGGTCCCTGGTCCCCTGTCGAAGGGAAGGGAAGGAAAGAAGGGATCAAGGTAGTGAGGAAGGCAGGAAGGATGGAAGCAAGGCAGCCAGGAGGCAAGGAAGCACGGACAGAAGAAGGCAGGAAGAAACAACGTAACAAAGGAAGGACCACAAGGAAAATGAAGAATAGACGAAAGAACCATCAACCATGTCAATGGAGGTGCGTTTTTTTTTCGGGATTGTTTTTGTATTGTTTGATTCTGATTTTGCCGGTTTTTTGCTTTTGTTGCTTTTCTGCTTCTGCGTTTTGTTTGCTTTTGTTGCTTTTCTGCTTTTGCTGCTTTTCTGCTTCTGCTGCTTTTTTGCTTTTTGTCTTTCTGCTCTTTGCTTTTGTTGCTTTTCTGCTTTGGCAGCTGTTCTCCTTTCCCTTTTTGTTTTTGTTTTTTCCATTTTTTTGCTCTGCAGAGAAGAAACCAAACAAAGCAAGCAAGCAAGCAAGCAAGCAAGCAAGCGAGCACGCACGCAAGCAAGCAAGCAAGCACGCACGCACGCACGCAAGCAAGCAAGCCAGCCAGCCAGCCAGCCAGGCAAGCAAGCAAGCAAGCAAGCAACCTTTGGATCTGGGGTGCTGCTGGGGGGGGGGGGCGCTGCGCCTCCCCCAACACCCCCCGCGCCACGAAATCTGCACTTCATCTCCGACGCCCGCGCCTGCCACGAAATCAATATTTTAAGGTGAACTCCCCGGCGCAAAAAAACTTCTAACCAACCAAATACGCCTCCTGTGCTCGTTCTCTTTCTCTTTGCTGTTTCTCTGCTAACTGCACCAAACTATTGTGATAGGTAGGAATTTCTCTCACACCTACGTATTTTGCCAGCTACGACAGCTCCCGAATTAGTTTAATCAACTAGCAACTAATATGAAACCTGCACTATTCTAATGTATAGTCTAATGTATTGGGCCACCTACGACCTACGACACCTGTGTCTCTGCTAAGGACACGAAATTGCTGGAGAGCTCGTGGCAGAATAGTTTTTTAATTAAGTAATTAGTTTTTAATTGATCCACTCGAATATTTTTTTTTTGATGCGGTAAATAACTTTTTTGATACTTCACCCTCACAGGTTGAGCTTTTAGCAAGTTCTTTTTTGAACAGGACATTTTGGATGCGGCTGTGGGTGGGGGGTGGCGGGGGTGACGTTTGTATGGAGTGCCGGCAACGCAATGTTGCTTCGGGGAGGTTGTTTCTGGTCGTTGTGGGAGGGTGAGGCGTGGGGCCAAGTGAAGAAGTTTCTTGTGAGTGGCGAAGCGCGCGATGTTGCTTCCGGGAAGTTGCTCGAGGCTGTGGTGGGTGGGTGGTTCTGTGCCTGCTTCGCGTGCGTAAATAGTTTCAGTGAATGATTCGGGTCGGTATGTAGCAAAACGCTCTAAGCGCGTGGTTTAGTGACCCAGCTACTTAGACACAAACCTCAAAACCCCACGGTTGCCGTTGCTAATGCCGCCGCGACCTTGTTCTATGCAATGTAGCCTTAGTGCCCTGCCTGACAGAAGAAGTTGTTGCTCTGTCAATTCTGGCCGGCAACATCAACATGTCGCGATTTATTCTCAACTTGTCGCGAGGCGCCAGTCTTTCAATGTCTACTGAGCCTTTGTGTTTGTCCAGGCGTTGCGCCAGGTTTCCAGAGCGCGAGGACCCGTTGAAATGGAGAGGCTAGAAACTCTGTATCTTACAGAAGCTTCATTGGATGAATGCTTTCTCTCTGATGGCTCTTGGTGTTCAACATACGGTTTCTCCTTGTACCCGTGCTTCACGGACTCAATTTTATGTTGATTCACGATACTTTGCTGGAAGAGTTGGTTCTTTAGTTAGGCCAAGGTTCATGCTTCAATCGGATCAAAAAGAGGACGTTCCTCAAACCAGATCCCACGTTTAAGTCCTAATCCACTCCTAGGCAATTATACGTTTGATACGTGAACCTCCTTGAAAACTCCGCTCTGATTCACGACCAATTTAGCTGACCTTTCTGCAAGGGAAACTAGTTGCTGGGCGATGAACAGTAGGGTAGATTTATTAATTACTTGCGGGAACTGCTGCTTTTATTTGCGGCAAACTGTTAGCCACTTGTCACTTGTTGATCCTAGAGTTTTCACAGCCCAATCCTGCAGCAAGCACGTTTCGATCTAAAGTTGACTTGTTTGGGCAAGGGCTATATACTGGGCAAGTGTCATGGTCTCAAAATGCGCAATGGTAAGCTGTGCCGATTTTGTGACCTGGGACGGTTGTAGGGCTAATCTGCATAAGGGAATCACTCCACGCACCAAAAAATGTTATCTTGATGTCTGTGTGCACAGGTGGTTCAGCTTTTATGTGACAGTTTTGTTTGATCAGGACACGCAAATTGAATTGCGGCCCGCCCCCCCCCCCCCAAATGCGAAGATGCAACGCCTCAGACTATGGGTCTTGTGTAGAATGTCAAACTCCAAGAGACTGAAAACTTTGTTACACTTCTCGATTTGAAATCCCGACGCACTTATTTTCCGCTGCTCCCACGACTCTTCGAGTTACGCGGCTTGAGCCAAAACTCAGTCAATTGGCGTGTTCGCCCACATGGGTATAAAGGTGTTCTTGACTAAAGTCAAGAGTGGCCAAAACATGAACACTATCGTTCAAGTGGGTCTTTGGGATCTTCGTGCTGGCTCACAAGGAACTTCAAGAAGTGACTTTTCAGACCCCCTCACAGCACGACGATCACTAGCTGGAACTCGCCAGCGTGCGCTTCAGCCACTGTAAACAACTGCCCTACTTTCAAAGCCTTGCCAGAGACTTTGGCAGCTTGGTCTGCTAAGCCGTCGATGGCTGCTATGCCGACATAGAGAGGTGGAATAGGATCCTTCACACGCTCGGGTTCACCAGCACTTGCTGATGCACTGTGCATCGAAGCTGACTCCAAACTAGACACTGCACTCAAGCTGGTTCCAAAATGAGGCACTGCACTCTCATTCAATGAGTTGTAGCCTCCTCTGCTTTGTAGCTGTCAAGCTCCAACCAAGAAAAGGCCGCCGAAAGCCGCTGATGACTTGCAAACGAATTCAATCACTATTTAGGTTTTTGGCTTTTGATTTTTTTTTGCAAAAGGTTCTCTCACAAAAAATCTCTTAGTGCGCGAAAAGATCCTTGGGGCTTTTTGGAAAAATCTCAAAAGGAGCCAAGGATGCTATGAAGCACTGCACGGTTCATGGTCGGATACAAACCCTCCATCTTTCAAAGGAACATGATCACGCTCGCACTTGCATCGAAGACACTGGATCGGATGGGATGACTGCGCACCGATATGTATGCTTTGCATTGTTTTGCTTTGCGGACATGGAATGGCATCGGTCAATAAAAAACCTTGTATGGACACAACTCTGTGACGAGTGCTTCCACGTTCTCACTCTTCCAATACCGACAAGCCCGCGACAACTCAATGCACGCGACGTCACACTTTGCAAGGATTCCACGTCCCTGCTCAAGGAGAGCTACAAACTCATCCCAGTACCGCACGAACCGTGGAACGATGTCTTCCTGCTTCAAAACTGAACTGGAGATCCCCCTGTGCAAGGTGGACTGAACCACCCAACGATGGCGTTTCGAATCCGCTCTAGAAGGCCAAGAAGTTCAAAAAAAATTCTTCCAAAGGACCCTTGAGTGTCTTTTCATGGGCAGGTTTGAAACCCCTTGCGCGCACAAATCCAAAACCAGGACGTGGAAGTCCCTTTCAACGAGCCGCTCGAATACCGAACGCGCGTCAAGACACATGTCCCCTGATGAATTCAGTTTCGGCTGGGAATGAGCAGAGTGAACAAAGGTCGGCTGAACAGACAAAACCTTGTTTCCGATTCCTTTCATCTCCCACTGCCATGTCTCTGAAAGAGTGGCCTCAATGAACCCCATCATTTCCCGAAACTTCTCAGTCTTAGAAAACCTGCAGCCATTTCACGCGTTGAAACCCAACTAGGATCAATCTCTCCTGTTTGAAAAAGCTTCTGCAAAAAATACCACTGGTATGTTCATATGACGAACCTTTCGGGTCAGGCCGTCACCATTTACCACTGCTAAAGCTGCTAAAGCGGACGACGAATCGGTTTCGAGGCTAAACAAAAGAACTCGTGGCAGCTCCTCAACGTTGCTTTGCAAAAACTCTTCACGTGTGATGTTCGAAGGGATGAGGTCACTTACCGCAAACTGAAGCAACCGAGTGATTCCAAGTGTATCTTGGGATGGTGGGGTAAGGGAAATGAGCTGTGCCTCACATGAGGAAAGGGAGGACGACTGCTGCTGCCTCGACACTGCCTTTAGTAGGTTGCCTTTCCAAAAAAAATCACACAACCTGACACGACGCTTCTGTGTCCCCAAGAGGCATCTGCAAACACACGGATTGCTGGGCCTTCATCTTTCTACCCATACTTCTGCCACACATGTAAACAGCCTTGCCCGAATCTCAACATTGTTGAGGGCTTTCTCGTGGCACTGTTGTGGATGAGCCAGTCCCTGCGCCAACAATTCTGAAAAACGGAGGAGGTCACACCGTGTTTGACAATGCCAAACGTCCAAGCTCCGATCGAAAACCGTGAATCTTTCTCACTTTCCAAATCAATGTTCGGGGGAGTCGCTGTCGGTTTGAGATCTTGGACCAACTCGTGCAAAAAAACTCACGGGAATGCGAACGAAAAGCGAGCAACCCGCATCAAAGCGCTCAATCTCTCGTCCCCAAAACACCAACTGCCCTGCTTGATTTGCTGGAATGTGGCCGGTGATCTTAACCGTCTCAACTCTGGTTCGCAACATGGACTGCGCAAACTCTTCTGCTTTTGGATGTGAGCTGACAATGAGAAAGTCATCCACATAGCAGGCCATCACTAAATCACGGCTGTTTTCACCATCAGTCCAAGTGCCTTTGAATGCACGGGCTCTGATGTGAAGTCCGTTCAGAGCTCTTGTCAGCTTCGGGAAGGTGGGTGCCCCCTCGCTGACCAGGACAGATCGCCAGGGGGCGGATGACATATATTTGTTATTCAGGGATGGGCGAATGCAAAAAGGCAGTCAATGCATCTATGGTGGAGATGTTCATGCCTGGTTGGGATCCAGGGAGATAATGGCGCGAATGCTTTTGGCCGATGGTGTTCCACTGGACAGACCCAACTCAGCTGCTGCTGAACCCCATGCAATCTCCTGCGCTACCGTTCTCACGCGAACACCCTCAACTAGTTTGGATGACTGATGTGACCTCGTTTGCCACACCGAAAACAAATCACGTTTGACTTATGGCCTTTCCCGGAACCGGCTTGGCATTCATTCAGAGACAAAGGTTCCTTAGACATATCAAAGTGCTGACTGTTCAGGACGGTTTTCTCATAGAACGCGCCACAGGCACGCTTCGCTCTGGCACAGGTCCCCGGGGCGTTCAATTGCATTGCGAGAGGGATCAGCGTCTTCCGCTCCAACCGCTCCATCCGCTCCATCCGCTCCATCCGCTCCATCCGCACCATCC